TGATGCAAAAGCACTGCTATCTACAATTTTTGTTAGTTTGGTATGAATTTTGAAAACTTCTTGTCCTTTTATTTTGTATTATTAGTTGTCCCACATGATAGTAACCTTCAATAAATCATTTAGAACAATTAGGCTGATTTTGAATGCTGTTAAATAATGCTTATTTGGTGTTCTCTCTTTACACTTCTGCTCTGCCAGCATTTTAATGTTTATGGAGCAAATGAAGAATTTCAAAACAGTGCCAGAGGGACACTGTGCTAATTCTTTGAGAGAGAAAATGCTTACAATTTTAGTATGCCTTAAGCACCACTGGTTTATGATAAGGTCTTTGCAGAAGTGTAATAAAGATGATGGCTTAGTTAAAATACTATCAATATACTTGGTTAGAAAATGAAAACCCCAGTCTTTCATACATCGTATTTAAACGAGTGAATCTTCTTCTTCCTTTAAGTAATTACAATGTATACATGAGTGCTCTGTTATGATGGTTTTATTTTTGATGTGTGTTTAAATATAAAAAATATGTTTGGCATTAAGAGCCATCTCTCTCTGAAAGAGTTCTGTTCTTAAAAGAGAGTGAATACACATTGGAATGAACAAATACCATTGCAGATATCTTTTTTTAATTCAGGTGTAATTACAAATGCCTATGAACTAAAAAGTGTAAAAGCGTGTTCTACTAAATAGCTTCATTCTTTTTGAATGGAGTTAATAGTACTCTAAGATGAATATACTATTGGAAAAATAGTCAGGATAAGTAATTTATAAGTTGTTGCAGGTTTTGTGTTCCATCGCATGTTCTGTGCCTATAGGTTTCAGAAAAGGGTGCTAATGGTGTGTGGCACTAATATGGAGAAGGGACTATATAATTTACTTTCCAGTGAGCACTTTTAGCTGCAATAGACCATTTGAAATGTATGCAAGTAGTAACTGAAAAGAGGATACAAGGATTTATTTGACTGTCCAGGAAAGAGGAGTTTGATTATCTTCTTTTGGATCTCTCATCACGTGTGTAAAATATGGATGTAAAGTAATTTGATCAAAGCTGAGCAATGACATGCCAGCAGCACTGTGACAGGGGCTTTAGATATAGCAGTATGTTATGTATCATCATTTTTTCTTTCCGTTAAAACCTAATGGGATGGTATAGCTTTGGATCCCTGCTGATAAGCCCCTGTACGCATCCTGTGTGACAATGTGTATTTTGAGTATGCTGTCCTCCTGTACTATATAAATAAATATTTTCTAGGCAGACATGAGTGTCCTAATTTTTAAAGTTTCCCTTTCCAACAAGAACATTTTTTCAGGACGTAGGATCCACAGTTTCCAATAGAGATGATATGGTGAATGGTGACATTTTTCTCAACTCTGGTAATTTCAATATAGTAAAATGTAGCTATATTGATTTGAATGCTTAAAAACCCCACTCTTGATATAACTAAGATATTCCTGTAGATTGTTATAGATTCTGTCATGGCTCCCTACAATATTTTTAAAGTAACTTACGTAGCCAGTTACAAGTTGTCTGTATCCTGATGTTTTCCACAAATGATGTTGGCTCACAGTAATCCATTTATAAGTGTACTGAACCTTCAGTTCAATGTTATGTTGCTAACAGTTCCACTGGCTCCTCCAAATGTTATCATCTTCCTGACTTTTCTGGTGCCATACCTTTGACCTCCTATTGATTGGGAATGATTCTGCTCTCATGAGGCAACAGCTACTGCTGTTCGCTGGATATTTTCAGGTAGAGTGTTTTTCCACATGACAGTGGACAATATTTTCCTGTAGCAAGATAATTTTTTTCCTCCTCTTATTCAAGGGCTTTGTAAGCCAGAATGACAAAATTAACATCTGAAGAGCTGGGGTTCTTTTTTCAGTGTCTCATTAATCTTGTGAGATAAATGATTGGCAGATTCTGAAGACAGAGTATGTTAAAACAGAGACAGTTATATTATGACATTAATATAAAATGTAGTAAGAATTTATTTTTTTTAAACATATACATCAAGTGCCATACTGAAGAATGCAAGTACCATTAGGTTCATTTTACATGCAGAGGAACAGATCAGACAAGTAGTGGGACTGCCCAGTTTTGTGCATGAGATGGTAAGGAGTCAAATTCACTTTCCTAATTTTTCATGAGAAAGATAACTCGATGCTTAGCCAGCTCTGCCACAGAATCACAGAATTTCTGAGGTGGAAAGGGACCTCTGGAGTTCAGATAGTTCATTCCTGTGCTCAAACTGGGTCAGCTGCAGCAGTTTACCCAGGAAGTTTAAACTCACTAGCCATTCTTTGAGACTAGTGTGATCTTCCTGCCTGGAATTCAGTACTTCAAAAGATTAGACTCCACTGTTAGCAATAATTTATACTACGCCACCTCTTCCTATTGCAAATAGATATGGCTAGTTTTAATATTTCTTCCGTGTTTGTCATCTAGGAAAACTCAATGAGCACAGAGTAACAATCAATTAGAAGTAAATAGGTATCTCTGACAGTTTAAAGGAGTCCCAAAGAGGATGACAAGAGCTTGGTACAAGACAATAAATAATTTATAGCTGGAGAAAATTAATCAAGAACCCCCAATTCCCTCTGTCCCCACACGCAGGTGCTCAATTACAGTACCTCTAAGAAGAGGCAGGAGACCAATAACCAAGCATCTGTGACATAAATGAATTTAACTATTAGGGAAGAAAGACTTGAAGCATATAAACACAGTGCAGTAACCAAACCAAATTATAACAGGATGTACATTTGCTTTGTATAATGCCTTTCATTATACTATTTCCCAGAACTATTCTCGTAATTAAATAATATAAATGTTACAGAGTATAAGTGAAATACAGTAGCAATAGAGAGATTTTCTAATGGAGGCAGAGAACTCAATCATAAGCTATTTCAAAAAGTGAAAAAAATTAGAAATTCAGAGAAAGATGACCATGAGACTCAGTTTGAGAAACCTGGTCTACTGGGGACTGATGGGCTCCATTTGTCAGAGAAGAGGATCTTCAGTCATAAACTTGGCAAGTGGGTGAAGAGGGCTTTAAATTAAAGTTGCCATGGGATGGGAACATCAAACTATTCCACTTATACCAGTTTGGTACCAGGGTCAGCAAAAGATGCCCAGAGCCTGGAGAGGGATCACAGGTCAGCAAAGCATATGAAGAGCAGCAAAAAGGAATTCCAGCCATTCCAGCCAGCAAGTCAGCTTCATCAGAACCCAATTTAAAAGCCTCTAAGCAAACACATGCAGCACAGGGAATAAACAAGAGAAGTCAGGGAACATGTACACACCTGCAGGGCATGATGGGATGGCTCCTATAACCTGAATTTTGGCATGGAAGGATACAGGCTCTTTAGGAAGAACAGGCAGGGGAAACAAGGTGGGGGTGTTGCTGTCTATGTCAATGACGAGCTGGAGTGCATGGAGCTCTGCCTGGGGATCGATGAGGAGCTGACTGAGAGCCTCTGGGTCAGGATTAAAAGGAAGGCAAGGACAGGTGACATCACAGTGGGGGTCTGCTACAGGCTGCCCTATAAGGAAGACTGAGTGGATGAGGGCCTTTACAGACAGGCATGAGCAGGTGCATGTTCACAAGTCCTGGTCCTCATGGAGGTCTTCAACCATGTCTGTTGAAGGGACAGCACGAGGGGGCATATGTAATCCAGGAGGTTCCTGGAATGCATTGATGATAACTTCTACTCCAAAAACGATAACTTCCTTCTCCAAGTGACAGAGGATCCATTAAGGAGAGGTGCTGTGCTGGACCTTATTCTAACCAACAAGGAGGTGCTGGTGGGGAATGTGAAGCTCAAGGGCAACCTGGGCTGCCGTGACCATGAAGTGGTGAAGTTTGAGATCCTTTGGGCTGCGAGGAGGGTACACAGCAAGCTCACTACCTTGGACTTCAGAAGAGCAGACTTTGGCCTCCCCGGGTATCTGCTTGATCTACCATGGGATAAAGCCCTGGAGGAATCAGAGGCCCGAGAAAACTGGTTAATATTCAGGGGTCACCTCTTCCAAGCTCAGGAGAGATGCATCCCAACAATAAGAAAGCTGGGCAAAACTACCAGGAGGCCTGCGTGGATGAACATGGACCTGTTAGAGTGGGTCCAGAGGATGGCCACTAAGTTGATCACAGAACTTGAGCACCTCTCCTGTGAAGACAGTTTGAAAAAGTTGCTTGTTCAGCCTGGAGAAGAGATGGATCCTGGAAGACTTTATAGGAACCTTCCAAGTACTTAAAGGGGTCCTACAAGAAATCTAGAGAGGAACTTTTTACAAAGATATGTAGTGGTAGGATGAGGGGTAATGGCTTTAAACCGACAGAGGGTAGGTTTAGATGAGATATTAGGAAGAAATTCTTTACTGTGAGAGTAGTGAGACACTGGAACAGATTTTCCAGAGAAGTTGCGAATGCCTCATCCCTAGAAATGTTCAAGGTCAGGCTGAATGGGCCTCCAAGCAACCTGGCATAGAGGAAGTTGTCCCTGCCCGAAGCAGGAGATAGGAACAAGATGATCTTTAAGATCCCCTCCAAACCAAACCATTCTAAGATTCTGTAAAGAGTTAGTACATTGCACCTTTGTATTGGACCATTAAAATGGACAGAAGTCATTGCATTGTCCTCAATGGAAGCAATATAACTCCAAAGGAGTTTGTCAAAGATAGTAGAAGCATGGATAGAGAAGAGTAAAAACAAAAACAATGACAGTGATTGTTCAGTAGAGGGAACAGGAAGAGGAGTAAATAGATATGTGAGATCCCCAAAGAATTTTGGAAATAGTTGCCTGTCTCAATACAGGTTTTCTTCATTTTGATGCCTGCATAATGCAGATGAAATAAGTGAATTGAATTAACAGACCTATCCCAGTTTAAAGCACAGAAGGGACTCAACAGTACAGTTCAAAATGGTTCCTAAAATGACTGTTGATTCTTATACATGTAGGAATAGTCCTTTCTATTCCATTTTTACCTCTTCTGTTTTATAAAGCAGTAGTGCACGAATCCACCTGGAACATTGCTTGTGAGTTTTGAGACTCCCAGGGCTAATTCAGTGGGTTGCTCATCTGATTGCTTCAATATTAAACACACAGTTTGGCTCCTGCTACTGCTATAGAAGACCATTTCTGTTTGACTCCTGACAAATGAGGTAGGTAATAGAGTATGTAACATAGTTGTATTTACTCACCTATTTTGATTTTTTTTTTCAATTGACTAAGAAATAAGCTAGTCATAACTATTTTTTTAATGTATCTTACCTTTATATAGACATACATATATGTAATGAAACTCAAAGCTTATTTTCTAATTTCTTTAAATGATGCTACTTATGATTCTATTTCAATATTATTTAAAAATTGTTCAATATTCTTTAAAAAACATTCCATAAGATTTAGTGATCTGTCATTTTACTTTGCATTGGTATTTCTCTGTCCAAAATAGTTTTTTCTATTCTTCCCTTTTTTAACTTAGTAATCACATGGAGGTAGACAATTCTCTTGTCTGGTAAGATATAATTCTTTTTCATTTCTTTCTAAGGATCCTAGAATGAATCATCCCTCTCTCTTCTCATTACACTTATAAAACTGTTATTTTCTTTTTACACAAAATGGGACCTTAGTTGTCATCAAAACCTTACTATTGTACTGATGTATTTAAGAAATTTATTTCTACACTATTCAGTTCCTGAGTCTAACTAACAGATTAATTTGAATGAAAAAGGCTTATGATCTGTAGCTGATGAAGTTACAAGACCCAATACTTTATTGTTTGACACAAATGATAGTCAAATAAAAACCATACAGAAAAGGGATAAACTATTATCAGAACAGATTTTTTTGGGGGAATGCAAGTGAGCACATGGGATGAGATTCAGCAGTCATAGGTCTCCCATGTTAGTAGATTTCATGTCTGCAGGCAGATTCTAGATGACTAATAGTATTTTATTAAATGTACTTTCACTGAGCTTGTGATTATTTTGTAAAGGTATTTTAAAATATATTTTATGTGTAATAGGGACTTCAGAATGTTACTTAACAGTCTCCACACCTCCTTTACTCTTACTTTTCCAGGATAATTATTTTTTACCTGGTTTTGTAATGTCAATAATATTTCTTTTTCTGAATGATACAAAACTGTCATAATTCAGAATGTGAATCTACTTATATTGCATTTGTTTCATTTAAATTATATTTTTAAATTTTTTAATCCTTTCTGCTGCTCTGTGTAAATTTGCTATACATTGAAAAGTATGTAATTTCACAGTGAAACCATTTTTATCCAGTTAACTGTAGATCAATTTTGCTGATTTCAGTTAAATGAAAATAATATTTTAATTTTATCTGGCTTTTTCAAGCAATGTTTCAATGCCACTCGAATATGAAATTAAGAACTGAGTGTTGCTTATATGTAGATTCTAAATGGCTGTTTAGCTACAGATTTTTTTGCCCGTGAGAACCTTTCAAAATGGGTCCTCAAAGGTCAGTTTCAAGGGTACTAGGGACCCAAAACAAGACTCAGGAAGTTTCAAAAAAATATGTGTATGGTTTTAAGTGTGGGTCCAGGCCCTTCGCCAAATACACATGGTTCCATTTTTTGAGTGATTCTGAAAAGCAGTAGAAGTGTTCTTGACATTTCATTCCTCTTCTTGCAGCAGTCATGGGCCTGGGGATGATGTGGCCCTGAATTTGTCAGTTTCAAGTCTGTTTTATATGCATATTCCAAAAGGTTCTTGGGGTGATGCCTTATGGTGAATATGGGGCAGATAAGTCTGTTTGGGCTATTCTGTACAGCTGAATACCATATGCTGCAGGTGGCTTTGATGTGTATGGAACTGATCAATAGGGACTTTAGGACTCATTTTAAGTCATATAGAGTGTAATGGATTTAAACTGTATGGGCTGCTTGCCAAGGAACATGCATTATCCTCCCTGTGAACCTGCTCTCTGCTGAGCAGTGCAAATGTACACTACAGCCAGGATTACTATGTAAAGAAATCTTTGCTTAGTATCTGACTATATGTAAAAATGTTTAAAATTCAGTGTTCATGTGCAGCCTGAAATGTTCTTCTTATTATAATTTCTTCTTTTTGTGCATACCCAGAACTGCTCAGGCTAAGATCATCCACCTACACCTTATTGGGATCTAGAATGTAGGAACTCAATGAAGTTGAATTAAGCATATAATAAAATGCTGCTGAATCTGCTTTCTTTTTAAAATCTGACTGGAATAATTTTTTCCTTCCCACCTCACTTTTCTCTCTGGTAGGTAGGGCAGTCACTGAAAAAATAGAGGATCACAGTCTTTCTGATTTTTCTAACGTAAAGGAGATGAAACCCAGTATTGCCACTTGCTGGGAGTGTCACTTAAAAACTCAATTTACAGAGTGTGCAACAAAGGGTGAGTTAGGTGGAGATGTATGGAGATATAGACCCATGATCCTGTTGATGCAGTCCTGTTGACTGCAGAACTGTAGGAGATGTGCAGGATCAGGAAAAGCACTCTAAGGAAGAATAGCTCCACGGTACAGTTGTTGAACCAGGGGATCATAACTGATTATTTTCTGCCAGCTTTTGTTTATGTGTGGATGTTGTGGTTTAAGCCCAGCTGGCAACTAAGCCCCACATGGCCACTTGCTCACTCCCCTGCCAGTAGGATCAAGGAGAGAATTGGAAGGGTAAAATCTAGAAAAAACTTGTAGGTTGATATAAAGACAGTTTAATTGGGAAAGCAAAAGCCATGCATGCAAGCAAAGCAAAACAAGAAATTAATTTACTTCTTTCCATGGGCAGGCAGGTGTTCAGCCATTTCCAGGACAGCAGGGCCCATCATGCACAACACCGACTTGGGAAGACAGGCACCATCAATCTAAACATCCCATCCATCCTCCTTCTTCCCTCAGCCTTAAATACTGAGCATGATATCATATGGTGTAGAATATCCCTTCGGTCATCTGAGGCCAGCTGTCTCTTCCCAGCTTCCCATGCACCTCCAACTTCCTTGCCAGCATGGCAGTACAAAAAGTGGAAAAGGCCTTGGTTCTGTGTAAGCGCTGCTCAGAGATAACAAAAACATCTCTATTATCCTTACTGTGTTCAGCACAAATCCGAAACAGAGCCCCATACTAACTACTGTAAAAAAAATTAACTCTACCTCAGCCAAAACCAGCATAGTGGAATAGTCATCAGGCAAACCCACAAACAATTCTGAATGAAGAAAAGAGAATTCGTTGGGGTAGGAGAGTTTACCCATATGTTTTTCTCATGAAAAGCACAATCATTCTTCCAAAATGTAAACGTACCTTAAACCCTATCCAGGGTATCTCATTCTTTGAAAAAGCAATTATTGCAGTCTAGATCCAGGAATGAATTTCAGACATGAATCCAAAATGAAGAATGATGCCTAGGTTTTTGGGATCAAGTTCTAGACACAGCATTGAATTCCAGACAAGTTTAATGATCAACACTTCCTCAGGTCTTATTTTTGGCTTCTTTTTCATCATATGGGTTTATTTTTATTACCCTTCTGAGATGATCTTCATGCCTTGTACATAGGTTGTATGTGCTTAGCTCTGAGATTTTTGTTTCGTTCTGGGAACCATGCATAAAATTAAATGTTACAGTGTATCTACATTAGATAGGGACTTAAGTCTGTTATTGCATCAGGTTGTAATAACATGGGTTATGACACAAAAGAAGAGTTATAGAAGAGACTGTCCACACTATTATGTGGAGGTAGACAATGTCCCTTTTTTTGTGAGGGTGATTCATAATATCTAGGTTGGTGTTTTAAAGCTATTGAATTACAGTTTGACTCATTTGCTTGATAGAATATATGTTTCTGATCTGATTATGACACAGGTTCTATTCTGAGAGCTATTCTGTCACCTCTTCAACATTTCTCATCAGCTAATCCATAATTTTCCTATAGAAATTCTAGAATTAGTACCAGGTGTAGTTTTTCCATTTACTTGTTATCTTTGAGTTGTCACATGTTATCAATTTTTGTTTTATACCACCACAAAATAGTACAAATTTTCTTTCTCTGGTGGATAATTTCTATATTTTTCTTTTTTCTTAGTCTGCAATCAGATCGTGGATATTATGCCAGAGTTTCTTTTGCACTTGCTTTAGTATCTGGAAAAAGAGCTTACAAAAGTGATAGGACCCTAGGCAGCCAAGGCCACGGAGTAGAATTGGTCCATTCTTTCTATAGAGGAAACTAAAACAAAGCATAGTCAATCTTTTTATCTTTCAGTCTTTAAAGTTGTGTTTTGTAAGAAATATAACAAACAAAAAATGCCAAAATGAAATCACACTAGAAAACGAGGTCTTGCTTTTCAGCCAGCAACACTTAAATTGAGCAATTTCTATAACGTCTGGATCCTACTTGTTCGCCTCCACTTTAAATTTGCTCCTTATTTTTCTTTTAAGTCTCTTGGCTCTATTCATATTTAAAATCCTAAATTTTCTGTGCCTTTCTCTGCCTGAGTCACTGTTGTATTGGGTTTGCATGGCCAGGTTTTGGTAGCTGGGGGGCTACAGGGGTGGTTTCTGTGAGAAGCTACCAGAAGGTTCCCCCACGGCTGGTAGAGCCAATGCCAGCCAGCTCCAGGATGGACCCACTGCTGACCAAGGCCAAGCCAGTCAGGAATGATGGTAACACTTCTGTGATAACATATTTAAGAAGGGAAAAACCCCATTATTGTGCAAAAGTAATTGCAACCAGAGAAGAGCAGAGTGAGAATGCATATACCAAGGCCAGTGGAGAAGGAAGGGTAGGAGATGCTTCACGTGCTGGAGCTGAGCTTCCCCTTCAGCCTGTGGTGCAGACCATGGTGAGCCAACTGTGGCCCTGCAGTTCATGAAGGTCAACAGGAGTGCAGAGATCCACCTGCAGCCATGGAGGAGACCCACGCTGGACCCGGTGGATGCCCAGAAGGAGGCTGTGAACATATGGGAAGCCTGTGTTGGAGCAGGCTCCTGGCAGGGACCTGCTGAGACATGGAGCGAGAAGCCCATGCTTGAACAGGTTTCTGTAAGACCCCAGTCCTGAAGCCCAACTGCTTAACTGGGAGTATTACTTTTAAAAGGTATTCAAGACTCCAAAACTTCATCCACTGAAACTGTGCAGAGCTTTTGGTTCTTTAATATCTAGAGATAGCATAAAGAGAGAATGCTGCACACATTTTCCCGGGAGATACTTTTACTGTTAACTTTAGGGAGAAAATAAGAGATCTTGGCAGAAGTTTAAAAGGGGTAACATACAATCAAGGTAGAGCATTCCATGAAGCACTGACACAGGACTCGCCAACACACACAACTTAGTGAAATCTAACCCCCTGGTTTTAAGTTAGCCAAAATATTAAGCAAGAAAAGAGATTAAAAGAACAAAGAAAAGAGATTAAGAGAAGAAAAAGGAGTAAAGAAAGAGAAGAAGAGAGATTGATAAGACAGGAGAATAAGAGAAAAATAGATTATTAAATAGCTACCACCAAGTAGTTTAGCTTCACATGGTGGAGGCTGATCTCGGGAGAGCAAAAACAAATAAAGGCCCTGTGTTCCTGTATTTATGTGCTTTGGCCACCTGTGGCCACCCTTCCCAGGTGGGTTTTCTGGCTCACTGACCATGCAGTGCCTCTGGGCCAGAGTGAGGCGTGGTGTAGCCAAGCAGAGGCTGAGTTGGGTGTTCCAGGGGGCATGGTGTGGGAGGGATCCCTTGACAGACAGCTGCTACTGCAGAGCCTGCCGGGTGGGCTCGGGGCTGCCATATGGGATACGGCCTGGCCCTTCCACACTCACACACACTTGAGCTGATTCTGATGCAATAATTAAATACTGTTCCAGTATCTCGCAGTTTCCTGGTAGGACTTGTGGACTGGTAGGACTAGCTGCTCCACGCTGGAGCAGCCTGTGCCTGAAGGACTGCATGCCGTGGAAAAGCAACCCACCTCAGAGCAGTTAATGGAGAACTGTTGCCCATGGGATGGACTCACATCATAGAAGTTCATAGAGGACTGTTTCTTGTGGAAGGGACCTCATGCTGGAGCAGGGGAAGGACTTCTCTCCCTGAGCAGTATCAGGAACAACCTGTAATGAACTGACCATAACTCCCATTCCCCATCTCCCTGCACTACTGTGGGTAGGGGATGTTGACTTGGGAAGAAGGGAGAGGTGGGGGGAGGATATTTTTGAGATTTATTTTACTTCTCAATATCCTGCTCTGATTTTTTTGATAATAAATTCAATTTCCAGTTTGAATCTGGTTTGCCTGTGACGATATTTGGTGAGTGATCTCTCTCTGCCCTTAAATCATGAACCTTTGTTATATTTTCTCTCCCCAGTCCAGCTGAGAAGGGGAGTGATAGAGCAGCTTTGGTGGGTGTCTGGCATCCAACCAGGATCAACCCATTACAACTGTGTATTTCATATTTTTCTTCCAGTGGAGCTTGCTCAGTTGTTCTTGAGAAAAGGCCAAGTCTTCTGGGGCAGGAGTCAATCCAGTCCAGAGTAAAACAGGCATTATAAGGCACAAAGGAAAACTTCTTCCCTTAGCTCCAGTACTTTAAGTTTTAAAAAGTATCATAATGCCTACACAGCAATTTATAGCAAATTACTAACATAAATAATCTTTTTGTTACAACTCACACACATCTACAAATCTAGTACATGCTCATTTGCTTGAATTCTGATAATTTGTGGAAAATAACTTAGACACTAAATTAGTCCTATGGCATGCACAATTTTCTTTTTTTTTTTCTTTTTTTTTTTTTTTTTTTTGGCCAGAAAATTATCTAGAAATTGTCTTACATTTTCATTTGTGAAAGAAGACTGAAAAGATATGGTCTGCAAAGAAGGAATTTTTTCCAAATTAAGATAAAAATACTAAAAAAGGAATTTCCATAGGTAGAAAGAATTCTGCTCTCAAAAATATTTGGTTTTTATTTGTTTTGACTTTTTTTTTTTAATCTGGATAAACAACATTATCTGTATGTAGGAACATTTCTTTTTGTTTGACAAAACTTTGTAATTGTATACTCATGTCTATTGTCACAATAGCAAGTGTATGTTGTAGCTATTCTATATATAGTATCAGTATTCAGTAGTGTGGTCCAGTATTTTCAAAATGAGTAGCTATTTGGATATCACAGACCCTCTACTTTCCTACTTAAGAAAATGAAAACTGAATTTTTAAAATGACTTGACT